ACACACAAACTACTAAAAGAACTCCTTAGTGTACTTTTTTCAAACGTAACACTCATGGTTTGAAATTATACATTTGTTCAAAATTTACTAAGGAATATTTGTACTCCTTTTGCAATGGTTTGAAGAATCTCACATTTTTTTTTTGTGTGTTACATTAGAGCGTTACGTTTGGAATAAGTACACCAAAGAGTTTTTTTGTGTGTTAATTAAATTGTTACACTAAGAAATATTTTTAGAGTATTATATTGAAATATTACGTTTGGAAAAAATACATTAAAGAATTTTTTTGTGTGTTACATTAAAATGTTACACTAAAATGTTACACTAAGGAGTTTTTGTGTGTGACATTAGAGTGTTATACTAAGGAATTTTTTTAGATTACTATATTAGAGTGTTACATTTGGAAAAAGCACATCAAGAAAATTTTTTGTATGTTACATTAGAGAGTTACACCAAAGAGTTTTTATGTGTGTTACATTACAGAGTTTTTTTTGTGTACTATATTAGAGTGCTATGTTTGAGAAAAATACACTAAGAAATTTTTTTGTGTGTTACATTAGAGTGTTACAATAAGAAATTTTTAAGTGTGTTACTTTAGAGTGTTACACTAAAGAGTTTTTTTGAAATACTATATTGGAGTGTTATGTTTGGAAAAAGTACACTAAGGAGTTTTTTTATGTGTTACATTAGTGTTACATTTGGATGTTAATTAATGTCAATGTTATAACTGAGATGAACACCACAAAAAAGAACGAACACCACACCAATAACACCACAAACAGGGTAACATCATCCACCTACAAATCACTCCACTAAATCTCCACAAAAAAAATAGAAACATAGAAACCTACCTTACCCACGCACACCCAACATTAGGAGAAAAAAAATCCAAACAAAATCATACACAAGGACAAACAAGTAAACTTTCAGACCCTTAAATCAAGAAAATACAACATATCCAAAATAAAAAGGACTAATTGGTTTGAAAGAAAACTTCTAAGCCATTGTTTGGGAAGTGGGTTTGGGGCTAAAATAGCCACAAAAAACAAAATAATCTTTTTGGCCCCAATAAGACAAAATATCACATTCAATCCATAATCATTATATTTTTTTCTCACAGAAAAGTCAAAAAAATCAAAAGCCCTTCCCAAACCAGACTTTTTAGCCCTAGGTTAAAATAGTCAAAAAAGTCAATCCACTTCCCAAACCAAACCTAAGACTAAATGGAATAATTTTTCTCCAAATGGGATTTATGAGTAATTTTTCCTAAATATTGTGAAAAAATTATTTTACGTAAATAGTAAATTAATCTACTAAATATTTTTTCATTTTTCAAAAAATGTACATGACATTTAATTTTTAAAATTAAAAAAATGACACATATCCCTTGCATTAATAAAATACTTAATAAAATTGATGGTATTGACTAAAATATAAAATAATTGGAGGAGTGGTGCTATATCTCCCTAATTTTACCCTCCTAATTCCACCCTCAATGACGTTGCCCACCCCTCATGTGAAGCAATTCCACACCCTTCTCCCTCTCCCTCTCTCTCTCTCTTATATTTAGCATCCATAATTCCGCATCATTGAGAGTGAAATTGGATGAGTGATATTAGGGGAATTATTATAATTAGAAATCATCTTATACATGGTGAAGTACTCATAAAAGCAAAATTTAGTAAAATTAACTTTTATAAAATTAATGATCAAAAAAGAATGGCAAAACTAGGCAGAAAATTGAAATTGGATAGTTACTACTATAAGAGATTCAATTATTTGGTCATTAACGAACACAAAAGAAAATGATAAAAAGAAGGGTCGATTGACAAAAAAGAAAAAAATTATAAAATAATGATCTATCTGAATCTAAAGGACCAATCCCAACAAATATTGAATTTAACAATAAGTCTGGAAACCTAGATTTTTCTATATGGGTGGTTGTGTAGTGGAGATTAAATTTGTGTAGTGTGGGGTTCAGATCATATGTAGAATAAATCTGAACAACAAGATAATAATTCTAAGTAATTTTTGAATTCGTAATATTACTGTTAACTTAAATCATGTTTGTTTATTTGTTAAATATTAAGTTTTTTTTTTAATGCTAAACAATATTTGCTTAATGCTATGTTTTTGCTTAACTATTGAATATTAAAAGAGCAGTTTGTTTGATGAGTATGCTGTTATTATTTTTTTAATTTATGATAAGTTGAATATTTTTAATAATGTTACATGATTTTTTTTTGGAACAGATAATGCGAAAACGTAATTCCAAATCAAATCGAATTGTGTTTAAATGATTTGGTCCAGATTGATTCAATAATTTTAATGATTTAGTTTGATTACAATTTTTTTAAACAGTAAAGAGCGAATTAATTCTGATTTTATCTAAAATAAATTCAAATCCGACCATGCTTATCTCTAGTGGTAAGCTTTTGTCAACTCTCCTTCTCCGATTGGCTGGATAATGCAAAGGCAAATTATTCTAAGTCAAGATTAGCAACCAACAGAATGACATGAAAGTAGCTTTGAAGAGTAATAAACTAAAAAATGGAGGGCAATTTTGCGCGATCGGACATTATAGATTTGCACTTTTTTTTTTCTAATTGTATTCTAACTTTTCACCTAGTTTTTTCTTTCTAATTATTTCTCATTTCAAAGTTATTAGAAATATTATTTTCTTTATTAATTTGTTTTGTCTTTTCTCCTTACATGCCAACTAGGTCACATGGAGGAGATTTTTTTTTTTTATTATAAATATTTCTTTATCTTCATTTCATTATCTGCTACTAAACATATAATATAAAATCATGGGATTTGTTTTGAGATATAAAGCCAATGTATTCTTTTTTTAATAAAGGGGTGGGAATATGTAAAACGAAGTTACTTAACAATGACCCTTCTTTTTAATATATGACTATATTATTAATCAACTTCTTTAATTAATAAAATATTTAATCTTTTTCAATTATAAGTCACTCTCATCTTACTTGTATTAAGTAATTATTAAAATGTCAATAGCTAAATGGCATCACCACCTCTCTTTTTTTTTTCTTTTTTTTTCTTTTTTTGTAAGGAAGATAAGGTTTGGGAAAATTGATTAGGGTAAACATGTTACGAAGGCCAAGGGATTAACCTAATAGATGAGGTGTTTTCTTATTCTTTATTAGGCATAAGATAATGGCTGAATTCAAGTCTTATGCTGCACTTTTGTCTTCCTATTTTCCATCTATGAATTATATTATAGTAATAATTTAGAGCATATTCTCTTGACACTATTTAGTGGTTTTAAAATAATATTTAACATCATTTAGCTTATGATATTTGTTATGTTATCTCTTACAAACTAACATAGAAGTGATAAATTTAACTCAAATATTATAAAATAAATATGTGATGCACAATAATTGAGGTGATATATTTATATGAATGAGTTTAACATTGTTAAATTTTTAGATGGCCCATAATTGAATAGATTAAAGAAGCGACTTAGATTCTCTTCAATCTACATAGTGTATTGGACTGTGTTATTCAAATTTAAGGGTCCACCACAGGTCTTTTTAATCTGAATTGTTTAATGCTTAAAATTCGTTAAGTATTTTATTCTGGTAAACAATTGCGTTGATTGAATATCGATTGTTACTTGATCGGATGAGATTTCTGTCAATAATTTCTTTTGAAAATTATATTTATTGTTGATAAAAATATGATTTGATCAAGTAACTATCGATATCCAATTAACATGATTTTTTGTAAAAATGAAATACTCAACAAATTCTACATATTATACGGTGTAGATTATCGAATAAGACCTGTGGTGACCTACGGGGTCTAACAACATATTCCAATTTGAGATGAGACTAAAGGGTCATTTAAAAAAATGAGTATGTTGCAACAAAAAAAATAAATAAATAAAATAACATAAATAAAAGGGTAAATTACAAATACATCCTCTGAGGTTTACTTAAATTACAAATTATCCCCTGCGGTTCTAGAAATTGTATTATACCCCCTAAGATTTCTAATTTCATAACGAATAAGTCATTTTATTAATAAATCATCAAATTAATTATCAAGTTTTAATAATATTAAAATTTTATTTGAATTAATAATTTAAATAATTTTATTATTGTATAGATGAACAGTTAGAAATTTTACTTTTTTAATTAATTCTGTTAAATAAACAATTATGATAGGGAGGTATTTGTGATTTTCCAATCCACAGGGGACAATTTGTATTTTAAGCAAATCTCAGGGAGTGTATTTGTAATTTATCCTCCACTTTTTTTGAAATTTCCCCATAAATTAAGAGAGACTTTTAAAATATCTCAATCTTTTTGCATTTAATTATTAAAAAATAAATAATAATAAAGTAATAAGTTTGTATAGCACTGGTCATCATTTTAACACACTAATTTAACTAGAGGCTATTTGGAGTTTTGGAGCAATATTCTAGGTCATTTATATTGTGACACTTATTCTATTATCTCTAAAAAGTTAAAACAAAAGTGTTGGATTTCACAATTTCAACCAATAAAATAGATGTTAAGGTATAACATGAATTTGCTTCACTATCATAATACAATGATAAATTTAGAAATGATAAATTTCTCTAAAATTTACATTTTATACATATTTTTTAATAAAAAAAATTAAAAAATATATTTATTTAAATCATTTCAAATATTTCTTAATTTATTTTATCTTTTTCATATTTTTTTAGTGTCACTTGAAATCCAACTCACTTGGCTAACGACAAAGTAGATGCAGGACTTGGAAGATAGATAGGGACATCCACGTCACGTATTTTGATCTTTCTTTCTTGAAAAATGCTTGGGAGTACTAATTAGTGCTCCCACTAATTAGGTGGCAGTGGGTCCCGTCATTAATGATGTGATATTTTGATTTTGGAGTTGTATTTTTTTTTATTTTTTTTTACTTTTTTAATACATTAATGCTATTAGTGGTGATGTTTTTAGTGAGATGAATCATTGTTGTTCTTTCTTTACTCTCTCTCTCTCTATGGAGTAACCAAACCCAAAACAAACACCGACAAGGTTTATCCAGTCAGATTCGAGTTCGACCATCATCATCGTCATTCATATAAATAGTGATCCATACGTTGTGGGTTCAGTTTGTTTGGTTTGTGTTATTTGATTAGATTAAGAATTAGAAATTAGAGTGAGAGAGAAGATGATGGTGGAGTTCTTTGTGCTGGGGTGCACCGGAGTTGTCGTGTTCCTTCACGGAGCCAATTTCTTCTTCCACGCTCTCTCCTCTCACCTCGCCTTTCGATCTCTCAGGTTTTCGCTCTCTCTGTCTCTCAAAATTTGGTTTTTTGTTCTTAAATATTTGTGTTTTGTCTTTTTGATTCAATTAATGTATGTTTGAGAGTTTCATGTTGATCTCTGTCTTCTAATCCGTTTGTTTCCATGGAAAATTTACCATTCCTCTCTATCTCTCTCTAAATTTGATGTTGTTTTCATAGAATTTGATCGATTTTTCTTTAAATATTTGTGTTTTGTCTTTGTGGTCAATTGCATGTTGATTTGTGTCATCCAATTCTGTTTGTTTCCTTCGAAAATAATTTGAGTCAAAACTTTTCCTCAGAAAATCAATTTAGTTTAGGCATTGAGAAGGTCTTTCTTTTTTCCTTTTTTCACAGGATTTAATGTAAGAACTGATCGACGAAAGATATGTATAAAATCTGATAAAACTTTGTTTGGTTGATGAACTCTAAATTAAAGAATTTATCAAAAATGAGTTTCTTCAACTCTTTTTTTCTTACCCAAAAAAATAATATTCTTTTCCTAAGAAAGCTTTGGACTTTAGTGGCGTTAGTGCTTTATCATGGGTCTATTATTGTATTTTTTTTTAAAGAAAAATTATTTAGAGCTTACTTATCAATATTCATGGTGGTTGGTCCACCATCCACACAACACATACACAACATCCCACCCACCATCCATTGGGAATGCTACGGTATCACAAAATATGTAATTTTATTAGTACAAAATTTGTAACAATCAACCATAAATAAAATGCATAACCTCACCAGCATGTTAGTATTTTTTTATTTTTTTTTGGTGGGTTACTTCTTCATTTGTTTTTTGATAGGTATTTTTACATACTTCATTACTTTTGTATTCATCAATTTTACATATCATGTCCATCACTAGATACATATACACCTCTCATGCATATTGCAAATGCTGAATATCACATGAATCAGACATCTTTAGCTTTGTGATTTGTAATTAAATGGACAAAATTGAATTGCAATTTTAGATCTTGTACTAATCTATATATAGATTTTTGTTTGCAATTGAATTGAAATTTGGTATGCTAGCAAAGCATTGGAAGCCAATGTTTATGGAAGGTGTGAAAATGATGCTGTTTGACTAAAGCTGTTGTAGTTTTTGTTTGTGCCATTCATTTATCATTTAGATGTAGGATTTTTCTTGTTGGACTCTGCCTTTTGACAAAGTAGTTTTGCCTGCTGCCAAAGTAATGAATAATGAGGGCATCTTCGACGGCATGCCAAAGGAGTTGCCACCGTCAAAATTCGACCAAAAAAATTCTCTCTATTTCCTTGAATCTGATTGGTTCATGAAATTATGAACCAATAAGATTCAATGGAGCAAAAAAGAAGCATGGGAGAGGACAGGTCACTTCCTCTCTCATGTTCTCTTCTGTCTTCTTGAATCTTATGATAAGATTAAAAAAGACACAGAAGGGAGCATAAGAGGAGACAAATGATCTTGATTAATTCTCAAAGAATCCAAAATACATCCCCTCCCATGCTACTTTCTTTGTTGGTTATTTGGACATGTGATCTAGATTCATTTCAAAGAATCCATAACACACGCCCTCTCTTGTGCGCTTTTATCCATCCTCTTGAATCTTGACATGGACAATCACATGAACCATTAAAGATTCAAGGAGAAGGAAAAGTGATCTTGATTCTTTGTCAAATTGGTCAATTCGCACTTTCTTTACCTGTCTCATAGACAATCACATGAACCATTAAAGATTCAAGGAGACAATTGTACCGTTAAAGCGCACAATTGTTTAATTATAGCAATTTTAATACACTAGCATACCAAAATATGTAGTTGACATTGCTAAAATAGCAAAACTAGTAGACATGCTCTAACTTTACATATCTTTTGGTCTGTAGTTTCTTAGGATTTGCTGGATGGTAGAAAAAGAGAGAAGGGCAGAGATGATTTCTTCGCCATGGCTGGTACAGATCCCGGCATGTTTTTGTAACTATATATTATTCTATTTTTTGAGCAGTTTATAGGATATGGGGAAAATAAAATGGCTATAAATAGAAGCCATCATCAACATATATACGTTAGGTAATGTAATTGATCAATTACGTAAGATCAATTGTCATGTATTTAATCCTTCCCCTCCGCTCGAATCATGGAATGGTTTAGAAACTTTTTGCTTATTCAAAGACTCTTCAAATCCATTTTGCTTTAATCTAAACAAACGTCGTCTTTGTAATATTTGAGAAATTTCTCTTTCTTTCTTTGGTTTTTTTTTTTTTTGAGAATTTTCAATTTGAAAGTTTTCAGCAATTTATTGCTAGCTTCATTGCCAACTATGACTTTTTGCAGATGGTGTAATGTTATTAGTATTGAGTGCGAGACGAATGGTTGTTTGGGTGGAAGGAAAATGAAATGATGTTTGGTAAGAGTAGGTTATCAAATGAGAAAATAGTTGCACGCTTTTGGGTTGGAAATTCTTTTCTCAACAAGGAAAAGGAGTTGTTTTATTTTATTTTTTTTGATCAGATGAAAACAAACAGGAACACACCCAAACAAAACAAACCCAGGCCATCCTTATGAACGCAGCAAGAGCCAAAGAAGGAAAAGAAATCTAGAATAGGGGAAGAGCATTCCTGAGAGAAGCTTGGCCACCCAATCCACTGCTTTGTTTGCTGCTCTAGGACTCCAAGAAAACCCCAGGTTCAAATGCACAGCTAGCTGTTGATGTCAAAAATGATAGATCAGTTTCAGATGCACTTGGATGAATAACTGACTTCTTGTCTCTTACAATTTCCACCTCTGAAAGGTTGCAAGCTAGAGCTAACTGACAAGCTAACCGGCATGCGAGGGCCTCACCTTGAAGAGAAGAAGAACACACAATCTGTTTTGCCAAACCATCCAACAACCTACCTTTCGCTTCTCGAAGAATTATTGCAATTGAAGCTAGATCAAAGCCTTTTTGAGTAACATCACAATTTATCTTGAATTTCCCTGCAGCTGGAGGTCGCCATTTATCTTCACTTTGCTGGTTACTTGTAGATATGTGATGCTGACCTGCCCCATTCGAGCTGGCCCTCGCATAAAATTCTTTTTTAGCCATCCTTGCTCGACACAACGTTGAGATCGGATCAACTGGTTTCTGATAAAAAACAAACTCATTGCGATCTTTCCACACAAACCAACCAATCTAGGCAATTGAGCTGAAAAACATATTATACTCCTTGTCATTGAAATACTCCATCATCTTACAAACCCACTTCAAAATTGATTGATTTTCTGACAAAGAAACTTTATAACCAACCTCACTCCCAAACCACACCACTCGAACCCACACTCAAATAATAGATGCTCTATAGATTCCACCCTCTTGTGACAAATGGGACGAAGACCTGACATAGCACAATTCCTTTGGAGCGGATTTTCCTTTGTAGCTAGCACATTCTTACATACTCTCTACCAGAAATGACGGACTTTCAGAGGGACGTTTAGGGACTTAGATGAATTTCCTAAAATTCTTGGGAAGCTGGAGAGATGAAGACGGTCTCTGAGTTAACTTCCTTTCTTTCTCCTTTAGAGCTACATGATAACCCGCCTTCATCAAGTAAGAACCCTTAGACTCGAATTGCCAAACCAAAGAATCCTCATTATCCTTTTCCAAAATTGGAAAGTACGTATAGTTCGATTTCCTTTGCTGAAACTATGCTATTAAGGGCCTCAACCTTCCAACTCTTGTGTACGGAATCAATCACATCCACTACTCTATTTAACCCACAATTAACTGGTCTTGGAGAGAAAAGTTTAAATCCAGGTATGGATGGAATCCACTTGTCGTCCCAAAACAAAATTGCCATCTTATTCCTTGTAACAAAATACTACTTCCATGAATAATACTAGACGACGCCCAAGAAGCACGTCTCCCTCTAGAATTAACGAAATCCAAATGGGGAAAATATATTCCTTTCAACATCCTAGCACAATATGAGTTAGGGAACTTCATCAACATCCATCCTTGTCGCGCTAGAAGAGCCAAATTAAATGCATTAAAATCTCTAAATCCCAAACCTCCATGGAATTTGGATAAAGCCAGCTGCCCCCAACTCACCCAATGAATTCCTCTTCCTTCCATGTCTCCTCCCCCAAAAAATTTGCTGATGTATGAACTTAGCTTATCACAAAATTTCTTTAGGAATGCAAAACAAGCCATCACATACGCTGGGATTGCTTGGACAACAGCTTTAATCGACACTTCTCTTCCAGCTTGTGACAACTACTTCAATTTCCAGCCTTGTACTTTCACCATAACTCTCTCAATAATAAAGTCATAAGCCTCTGCCTTCAACCTTCCCCAAAACGAGAGTAAGCCAAGATACTTCACCTCAGCCAATGATGGTCTGAAGCCTAAAAGCCTATAGATACTTCTCCTTAATCTCCAGTAAAACATTAGATGAAAATTGAACACTTGACTTGTCAAAGTTTATAACCTGACCTGAAGCTGCACAATAGACTCCAACACAACCAAAGTATTTGTACACTCATCAACATCCGCTTGAAGGAATAGAAGCACATCATCCACAAACAACAAATGGGGAGGGTAGGACAGTGTCGTGTTATTTTTAATCCAGAAATCCTTTTATCATGGAGGCTTTTTGTTAACAATTTGGAGCCTTAGCCCCCGAGAAGGAATAAAAGATGCCTTTTTTCCCCCATTTGCAAACACACAGAAACTAACTGTTGAAACACACTGCATAATCCACTTAATCCACATATGATGAAACTCCATCTTCCTCAACAATGCTTGGAGAAAATCTCACTCACTCCGGTCATACGCCTTATCGAAGTCCAATTTGATTTCCATGTACCCATCTGCCCCCCTTTTCTTTAATTTCAAAAACTAAAAAGCTTCATGGGCTACCAAAATATTGTCCTGTGTCATCCTTCTTGGTACAAAAGCCGACTGATTTGAAGTAATCAAGCACCACAAAATTTTCTTCAACCGATTTGTCAAAATTTTTGTAATAATCTTTAAGATCAAGTTGCACAGGCTAATTGGACAGAATTGAGAAAGTTTCACCAGATTACTAACCTTTGAATTAAAACCAGATTTGTTTGATTGATTTCTTTAACGAAAAGAAGTTGCTTGGGGAGGGGCGATTCTTTTTTTTTTTTGGGTAAGTAAGTCATAAAATAAAGACAGTGAAATATACAAGTTTACAAGGGGCGCCCAACAGCAAATAAAAACAAGTATAACCAACATAAACAACCACTGCACCCCCCAAAAAAGGGGGGACAAACAAGAACAACTGAGGGGAGATTCTTGTCTTCATGCTTGGAGCAAACTTGTGACACTGAGGGGGGTTTGGTAATTGTATTTTCTAGTAATATTTTTATTGATTTTTTTAATTTATAATAAATAAATAAATAATAAAAAATTAGATCCTACTAATATTAGATCTTAAAAATTTTATTAAAAAGTTACAAAATTGAAAGAAAATTCACTAAAGTAAAAAGAAAATTAAAATTTTAGTTTTTATTTTAATTTTAATCTTAGTGAATTATTTGAAAATTTTATTTTACTCTAGGTAAATTATCTTTTATGAGAATTGAAGAAAATATAATTAATCTCACATTTTTAACATAATTACTCTATAAATTAACACTAAATAATGGGTCTTACTTACATTCGTATATTTTTTTTAATAATTGAGATAATAGTCATAAAATGGTGAATGGATTCAGCCAAACCAGATCACCCTTTCAATTTTCACTTTAATGCTATTCATTTTCTTGAACCAACAAAAAAAGATAAATAAATAATTTTTCTTCTATTTCTTTTTTTATTTTTATCTTTTTGTCGTCTATAAACTCAAAATCGATACATATGATAAGTGAGAAATACTATTTAAAAAAATATCACAAAAAGAAAGAAATTACAGAAGAATATAGATATTAAGATATAGGATAGTAACAGTTAAATTTATATAAAAATATAAATAAAATTCTTAAAATAAAAATCAAATAATGTCTGATATATCACATATAATAGACCATATACCAGAAAAATTATGAAAAAATATATAGGATGATTAATATATGTTCCAATAATATTCAGAAATTACCAAAGTAAATGTTTATTTAAAACCTTAATTGCAACAGATACAATTGAATTTATTCACTTCATAGAACTCTGTACAGTAAAACACGTTAGCAAAAATTTAAAAAGAAACACAATTATATGTATTTGTCCCCTGTTTAATTTCCTTTCCTCATATGAAAGAGTCCTCTAACATTATAGTCAGTAATGAGTATTTAGCTTTGATGGTGATCCTGCCACCCTCTACACACAGCTTTGCTCCAGTGACCACCCAATACCCCGGCGAATTCTCCGGGCCCCTCACCATTTCCTTTGTATCCACGAAAAACATCAGTTTGGGTGCTCTTTTTGGCAAAGGCGGCCCACCGGGATACACCCCGGAATTCAAATCCACTTTTGTTGGTTTCTCAGGCGGAATCATCGCTGTACTGAATGTCGTGCTCATCAACATTGACATGAATCCTGATTTCCGAGACAAGGTTCCCGGTCCGTCCCACTCTGACCTACGAATCCTTGCAGAGGCCACGGCTGCAAATCCGAGCCTCAAGAACAACACTTTCTTCATTCCAACAACCTTAACCTCAAACCAGGCCTTTGTAACAATAGATGCAGAATCATCAATCCTTGCGCCATCGTATTGTACCGGAGCAGTGCAGATGTGAGAGAATATGCTCCACTTGACAGGTTCAAAGTAACCTCGTTCATTTGGCTCATCGATTGGCTTGTAACTAGGATCATCCAAGAGTTGGAGGCTCTGAGGAAGAGTTGAGAGGTGCTGCAGATGAACAGCCAAGTGGTCGCTTTTCTTACCTTCCAAGTATAAACGGATCCCTGTCACCGGTCGGTTTCCGGAGTCAACCTGCAAATTGTTGATTTATAAAGACTTAGGTTGTAATCTAGTTCAGAGAACAGTCAAAGCAGCTTTAAATTGATTATCCTGTCAATCCCATGAAACACCACCGATTCAAAATCGGTGGTATCCGTGTCGGACACGTATGAGTACCGACACTCTGTGGACATGCGTGTTCACCTGTTGGACATGCCATGCGGTGTCTATTTTTTTATGTTTTTGCAAGACACTTTGGGAACATTTTATTGACACGCATGTCCTGTGTTTGGACACAGCTCGGGACACCTTTGTGAATTTCTTTTGAAGTCAAAGTAAAATATATGAAA